CTATATATCTGTCATTGTTCTGTGACACCATGAAACCATCTTGCTCGTACACATAAGCTAATCTCACAGCTCTCTCTCTCTATATCTCCATGGTGGTTGTCCTCTTAGGCGTGTTCTCTCCTTTGGCAGCCATCCCACCGCCAGTTTTGTCCACTGACCATAACCGTTCTAGTGGTGTACTACGCAAGCACACTTTTCGCTGCAGTCAACACGATGTTTCTGTCTTGACTTAAAGCTTTCGTGACTGCAGGAATACATATTTTATGGGTATTTCGGTAAAGCCACGTAGATAGAAAATACTAAAAATATCACGACGTTTCGATCGCAACACCTGAAGACGATTGCTTGTGTTGCGATCGAAACCTCGTGATATTTTTATTATTTTTCTTCTATCTACGTGGCTTTACCGAAAGACCCATAGAATACGATGTTTCTGGTTTGCATTTGTTCTCAAATACACGTGTTGTTCTTATTCCTATCTGGGTAATTCCCTGCATTAATCTGACCATGTTCCTTGGTGTATATTTCAGTTTTCGCTTCATTATCTCGGTCACTGTCCACACATCCGATTCATGTCACAGCGGAGAACGTAGTACCCATCAACATCTTCACCACCGTCACCACTATTTACACTTTCATCATGCTCAACAACTTAATAACGTATGTTACATTATCACCAAGAATATGAATCCCTGCAGTCACGAAAGCATTTAAATCAAAACGTATGTGATGTCTACCATCACCTTCACCACCATCTTAAAAATGTACTGAAATGTTTATCATCACAAGAAGCATGATGATCAAAACCCACATTGCCACTACCATCACAAGCTCCACCATCATTATCACCTCCACCTACATCATCATCATCACTATTTTAAATACGATCATTATCAACATCACCCTCAACCGTCATCATAACGTTTTAACTATTTAATATTTTCCGAAATTATTGAAGAACTAAACAAGGAAGGCTGCAGAGTTGAGCTTAAACATGTCCACTGGACAAAAGGCAAAGTGAGAGTGGGTTGGAGTGGTTTTGTAAAATTTTACTTGAAATTAAAAGCAACTTACAAATGTGCCCAAAGGGGAACGTTTTGCATCATTGTATATTGTCTGCTCTGGCATATGAATTGAAAATGAAGAAACTATTTTTTAATAATTGTTTTTTTACCCTTCTATCTGGCAACAAAAGTGTCAGTTTTGTTGCCAGATAGAAGGCTAAAAAAACCGATTTTCATATTTTTAACTGGCAAATGAGGTTCCAATGGTGTAAATTATTTTTTGTTTTATTTGATGTGCTTCTTGTGGTCAGTGGCTGGTCTTGTGTGGTAAATGCTTGATTGTGTGTTCGGGACACCGCTAAGAAATTCTGAGATTGCTTTGGTATAAAGTGGCATTTTTACATTTCCATGGCAAAGCCAAGATCCTTCGAATTATATTATTGCCTTATGTTTGTCACAAATTGGTTTGTAGCTACTTGTTAAGTTACGGGGTGATTTTGTAAACCATCAAGAAAAACTAGATTTGTATAATGTGTGCACATTAGTTGCTGATGAAAACTATCAATGTTGTGAAAGCGTTGTACAATCACTGCAGATGAAGCTTTGCTCCTTCATCGTTGAGCTTATTTAACAAACACCGAGAATCAATCATCGCAATTTCAGATTTGTCACCATTTAGATGAGAAAATGTTGCCACATCAAGTTTATGTGTGGAGCGGTGGCACAGCGGATTTGCGTCAAATCGCTTGGAAACCGGTGAGCAGAGTTACATTCCTGGCAGAGGCCAACATAAGTGGCGATTGTTTGAACCGGTCTTAGGCCCTCCTTGTCATGCACTGATCAGCCATGGGGAAGTATTGACAAAACAAACCTCCATAACCAACAGGGCCTGGACAGGCTTTTATCCAGCAATAGATTGACAAATGGGTGTATAAAAGAGTAGTGGGTGTACGATAAATGTGCAGTGGCCATCACTGACCACCGCTATAACTTTGCACTGCTACAGTGTTTAGGTGCTGCTGCCAGTAATTGGCAGCATGAGGCCACTCGCAGTGAAATATCACAGCATGCAAGCCATGTGCAGGCAGAGTGGGCTCCTGAGCAGTTGAACTGAACAAGCAAGCGTTCATCTTTTGTTGTTACACCCTAGCTTGTGGCACGTCTACTGTACACGTTCTAAGTCCACTGGTGTAGACGTTGGTAAGTTTTATGATGGTTTCATGAATTTAAAAGGGTTGTGAAAGTGGATTGTGTTCATCATGGAAGACAATGCATGGAGAGCCTATGTTGTTTATGTTGATTGTGGTTACTGATGTGGTAAAATGTAATGCCAATGGGAGTTTGGGAAATTTGAGAATTAAAGCAAAATACTGTTCAGTCGATTTTGAAACGTATTATTCAGACATTGTATTTCAGAGGCACTTAAGGTGGATTGTTCTGTATAAACACGTGCCCTAATAGGCTTCAGCCAATGTATATTTCGAGATAAAGTACATTGCAGAGTTAATAGAAAAAAACATAAAGTATGTGATATTATGTTGTAAGCGTAGTATTGTGGTAATATAAATTTGTTATAATATTGATTGACATTTTTTCTAAAGAGATCATTATTGTATTGATACGGAAATACGGAAACAGTGATGCCTCATCTGGTTATAGGAAACCACGCTGAACATCGTGGTGAAATATGGTCAATTTATCCTCACGCCTGATACAGCATGGGAAGGCCTTCATCCAGCAGTGGATTTACAAAGGGCCGTGATTTGTTAACGTTATTTTATTATTGTACAAACCATAAAAAACATGCAATCTACCATATATATTTCAAATACAATAAAGCCATTGCTTTTCTTCAATAGAATCCACCTTCCGCCTTCATATCTCCCACTTTAATTGAGGCTGTCTGTATTAAAAAAATATATTTTTTTACACTCGGTCGCAAAAACCAATCATTAACGGCAACCTCAGCCCTCTTTGTCACTCAAGACCCAGACACTTCTGCAGATCTTTCGTCGTGGCGTGAAACAAATAACAGTCATTTGGTGCTTGGTTTGAGCTATAGAATTGATTTTTGGAGTCAAAGGAAGCCACATTCCTTAACGTGGCTTGTGCTTGGTGAGCTTATGTGCAATGGAACATGGTTACGGAATACCACGAGTTCGTTAGTCCACAACACATTTGTGCACTCTGACTAGACACTCAAAATGTTGAAGATGCCTGCCAAAAATATATACAGCCCGATTTAAGTTTGCTAATGTTATGTCATTTTGCACAATTTAATCCTGTTGGTGCTATCGGTGTCATGTCATGTGATCAGACAAAGAATCCATTCCGTTCTGTCACAGCCAGCAGTGAGTGCTCCCCTTCGTGTTAACAGCCCATGGAATCAGTTATCACAGAGCAACCCTTGAGGTCCCATTCAAGTGACCACCGGTCCAACCAGCAGATGGCCTCACTGCATGTAAGAGTACTGTTTGTTGGAATAACAGTGAAACTGATGTTTAAATTTGGCCAAAGTAAGTGCAGAACTAATAATTTATAGTGATCAGTTTGTGTGTGCTCATTGGTGACTGAGCTGAGATCATCATCATCATCTCGCTGCACTTGGGAACTCACATGAATCCCAAGCGGTGCCTGGATTGGAACCGAGGGTCTCTACAGTGGCGGCTTAGTGCTTCCACCCTCTTGAGCCACTCAGCAACCTCCCATTCAAAACAAAGTCATTACCTGCCTTTGGCAGAAGTATTCTTGTCATAATATTTTCTTCATCTTGATTAACTCAATGCATGCAAATGTAGCACGTAAACAAATCATTGAAAATAAACATCTTCAAAAAAATTTACCGTTTCAGCAATTTAGGAATATGCACGGTGCCGTTTTTAGAAAGAGTTTTTTTTTTCTTCAAAGCATGCCCGCCCCAATCCATTTCGGATAACTTTGGATCATTAAAATGTAAAATAATAAAATGAAATCAGAGATGGTCACTGCCATGAAAAAATAATGAGAATGGGCTCGAATTGCCTCTAGATCAGAGACAAATGAAAATGAAATTGTCCTTTTGGACAAAGGCGTGAAATTAGTTTTCCTCAAGATATGTTTTTTATTCAGAAGAGGAAGTCTGCTTTGTGATAACTCCCAATTATAAAAGTAATGTTTGCAAACTGGAATCTTGATGTATTCCATCATAAATTATATAGGCAGTGCTTTTTTCCGAGACTGCTTTTGGGATGAAAGGGTACAATAATTACTCTGGAGGTCAACACGAGCAAAAATGCTGCTCTGCAAAAATTTCACAAAAAGGCACCTTCAGGATTTAATTATTTATAAAAGTCGATGAACATGAAAGTGATTATGAATCAAACTTTGACACTGATTCCAATTATGCACCCTTTATTCAGGGCTCACATGATTATCTAAGTCTCTATTTTTCAAAGATGGAAACACACCAATTTCAAATGAAATATTGCCGACGCTTAACCACAACGGAGCTGGTAACAGCGAAAAATATACCACATATGATAAGACGCAAAGATGTCGATTGCACTTGCTGTGTTAATTCTCAGCAGGATATTTAATCATTTAGATTTATATAAACACGCTTATAGTATTCAAGTCTATAAATCTTTTTTTTGGCTCAGTCTTAATGTAAAAAAATTCCGGTTGAGCTTTGACCTAAAAACTACAGTACAACTGTTGCTAGGTAACTATACGCTTTCAGGCTGCCTTATATTTTTTTGTTCGTACAGACAGGCATGTCTATTAAGTGAAACACAGACATCAGTTATTAAACAATCACCGACTTGGAAATATGTACATTTTGCGTTGAGCATTATACGGGGAAATGCTGCATTTCACAAAACCGGAAACAGACAAAGCTTCAGACGTAATCCTGTCACCTAATCTGTGTGTACCAGATATGAACAACGCAGAATTTCTCTCTCACAGGATGTTTATAGGATTGAACAAAGAGGGATGCAAAGTGAAAATGTTGTTTACCTGGGGGCCAACTTGTTGAAGTCTTGTTATCATATTTAACCTCGTACATATCATCATATTCGTCCAATATCAGCTCCGTGTCATCTTCAACATTTCCAGGAAATCCTGAAACGGAGATAAACCCATAGACAACGATTGCCTAAGGATCCTTTGCATCATCACTGTGTCTGATTTTGTTTTTCATGGAAGGCAGCCCAAGAAACAATGTCAGTAGTACTGTCTTATAAACGAGATTAAGTATTTAGCGCGCTTACGTTACATGGCAATGCCTGAAGAAAATGTTTTCTTCAGAGACGTTTTGTAGAGTTATGTTATTTGGAGAGATTTGGGTTTTTTTAGTCCGTGCGGACTGCTGCAAACCACTGCCAATGCCATAGAAATAAAACACGTTGGGTATTACAGTATTTTGTAGATGCATACTTGTGCTCTGCATCCTGGGTGTCAAGTTGATTGTGAAGCCTCATCACTGTAAAACGTGTACTTTCTTGGACGAAACTTCTGATGTTCAAGCGGGTTGCCATCTTCTTAAAGTGACATTACTAATAGTGTGCTTGCTTGACTTTTTCAAGCCAACCTCTCTGTTCTCAAGGTGAGGCCTGTAAGGCCCAAGGCTATATGATGACATACACCGTGTCACGGGAGCCAGTAGAGTGAAAAGAATATGGGGCAAAGTACGTAGAAGGTGAATTCAAAACTCATAATTGTGGCAACATCACCCTCTTGCTTGGGGGAGCTCGTGTTTCTGAGTTGGAATGCCAGTTTTATTTTTACAGGAATATATTGCATCTGCTGCATGTACACGCATGATCAATTCTATTTTATTCCGCTCAATTGTTTGTAAACAATGGCATGCTATTTATGATTCGAATCACTGAAAAAAGAATGCCACAGAACACATTGTTGCGAGGTTTTTTCATTCCTAATAAAAAAGCGGGAGTCCCTGAGTAAATTAAAAGGTATCTTCCAATCGTTTTGTTCTTGCCACAATTATTTAATTTGGAAATGTGTATAAACATGTGTACAGTACTGAAGAGCATTTATAAACCAACAACCCTAACGACATGATTTAAAGTCCACAAAAAACAATGAACCCCTCGTGATATTTTTGTAGGAAAATAAAAAATAAACACAAGCACTGCATATTCATCTGCTCGTGTCTTCATACAGTAGTGCTCGTCTGCACGTTTGTCTTACATACCACAGACGCATCGCACTGTTTTACAAACGTGAATTCACGTGTCAAATATAATGCTCGCTCCGCCTCTAAGCCTGTTTGAAACATTTTAAAATCGCGAGCGCCAATTCAGTCCTCCTGCCACCAATTCAACGAAACGACTGTGAATGCGACGGCAGTGGAGGGGACGAGATTCCCCTCGCAGCAGGAACGGCGGATCAGTGTCTGCCTTATGTCCTCGGAGGCCGCTCTGAACACGACATCGGACGAGCAGCAGTCCAGAAGAGTGACTGATTATACATTTGAATCCATCACGTTTATTCGCATTAGACACCGTACAAAAAGGGACGACACATGTTAGCACTATAATGGCTTCTTTCTCTCTCAGGCGCTAGACACAAGGGAAACTGAGCATTAATGAAACACAATAGTGTCCTACCTGGAGGCAGACCGAGTACTCCTGGGAAGGCATTGAAAGGCTCTGTAAGAGGAAAGGTGCTTGATCAATTTACACATGTGTGAATCGAGGCATATGGACACAATCTAAACAATTGCAATTGGGGTGTAATTTCAGTTTTGTGAATGCTAAATATTGACAATTTGAGGTTTAAAGTGTGTAAGCGAATATTATATGGATGTGTCCCTTTGGGAAAATGGTAACAGCTGTCGAGGAAATTCAGTTCATTGAGAGTTTACATGAAGAAGCGGAAGAAATGTAGAGGGTTTGGGCTACTACCAAAAAGCACGTCCGCTAAAATGAATGCTACATCTGTCTTTGGTTTTGAATTCCTTTGTATAAAAAATGCATATCCTACTTTTGCAAATGAAACAGTTGAATACTGTGTTTTGTTCTTTCCATGACTTCTGTAAAAGTCGAACGAACATGAATTTTGGAGTATATTTTTGTAAATTTTCTTGCTGATAGCTATACAGTCGGTGCTTATTTAGAATGTGTGACAACTATTTGGGGTACTTACTCAGGCAGTGCATGAGAGGGATTTTGTCGTTGAACTTCACATCGTCAACAGCCAAGCACCCATTGTGCCCGTCACCCATCTTTCCTTCCAGGATGACCTGCGGGTACCGACCATGAGCCTTTGTTGCGTTGGTTGTAATTTTACATGTCACATTCGAGTACTCCGTCATAATGTTTTTTTTTTGTAAACACGTTCCTTCGGAGAGGGCAGGTTGGAACTTGGTTGGACAGCGCATTCGTGCACGACAGAAAGCTCGCGGTCACGTGACGCATTTCAACCAAGCCGGGAGCGTACATGTTTGGGAGGGGCTATGCACGATAGACAAATAATCCCTGGTGGGTAGTGTGAAACTGTTGTTCCTACATGTATCATAATGAAATATATCAGCGTGCAACATTTTCAAATATAGAGTGGTATATCCAGAACGATAATATTCAGTCAATATGTATTCTTTAACCATGCAAGGAACATTTGAGATGAATTATTTTGCATGCGAGGGAGACATTAACCATGGTTTCAAAAGAATCATTCTTAAAATGTAGTTGCCGCTAATGTGTTTAAACATTGGGGTTTTGGCTTAGAAGCTGCATGCAATGGGCTACGTTGTAAATGATACCAGGGTCTTTAACATCCATATCATTACAGATGGCGGATTAAATTAACAATTCCCTGTACAAATGACGAGGCAGCTGCTGGATTCAAATTGTTCCATACCCAACTAAATATTGCAGGTTATAAAAATAACAAAAGCCCACAATATAAATGCGTTAATTCCATGATGTGAAATGAGAGTATTGTGGATTGCCTACTAATATATAAATTAAGCTTTTTCTTTTTTTGCATTCCGATATTTGCATAGCCTAAGAATATAGACTGGTGATTAATGAAAGACTAAGAGTAACGGTGACAGAATAATATACCATGGCAAAAAAATATATCCCATTCCTAAAATGCAATTAATTATTAAACGAATCACATATCTATCAAATGTATAACCAGGAAATACAACTGTTCGGCTACAGGGGGGAAAAAATAATCCAAAATGACAGCGAATTTGCATTTCCCATTTGGCGGTCGGATATTTGTCACATGTGTGGTTATTTGGAGCGAGTCCCAAATATAATTAGCAGACAGCTGTGGATACGATTGTGTTTACTTGGGTTTCTGTGTTTGCTAACAGTGGCCAATGCTGTGCAATATTTTTTTGTGCTTGCCTGGGCTGAACTCGGGGATAATTCCCTTGAGTTCGTGACCTACTCGGAACACTTTCCCCTTTCCACTGACCTGTGATAACTTCCGTTAAGTCAGAACACTAATTAATTAAAACAGCAAAACGTATGTTCCCGTGAAGAAAGCTTAAAAATCAATACAACCTGCTCAAGCTGAGCCAGGTCGAATCAACAAAGACAAAATTCCCCCGTAAATATTGTTGGGGCAAGTGCTGCTGGCGAGTAGCATCTACAAAGGTCGACACGGCACACGAGGGGGGTGGGTTTGCCAGCGCCACGCGAGGCCGCCTTTGTCTCCCTTGTGGCGATGCTTACACACTGCACCAGGTACTCAGTTGAGCCCGAGCCGACCTAACAACAACACACCGCTCGACGCCTTCAACTTGCTGAGCGATCGTCGCATCACGGCGGCGGTGGCCGTTGCTGTGATGCGACGAGCGTCCGGCGCTCCGAGTTGCGCACACGGGGAAGGAGGGCACCTGGTAAGGGGTGGCGTGTTGCGGCAGGATTGTGCGCGCCTCCTGCCAGCTTGGTGCCGGCTGCTCTCCAGACAGGCTCCACAGCGTCTCGTCCTGCAGGCCCATCGGCGTTTGCGTGCGCACGTTGACGGAGAGCTGGCTGTCGATGCCGCCACTCATGTGGTACCAGAACTGCAGGCAACGGTAAGTGCTGTGCGGAGTCACGGGGGGGCTCAGCAGCCTCGCGGCACCCTGCTCGCCTCTCTCCGACACTTCTACGAATGCGTAGTTTCCTTGACCTGAAAGAAAGGAAGGGACAAAAGATTGGGGTTATGTTACAACGTGGATCTGGCAATTTGGTAGATTCTCGATTTTAGGCCAGAAACGTTTAAGAAAAGTATCGACGTTGCGTAGGTGTTCGTGGCTGTTGCGGCTATATCGGTGTCCGATGTGTCTTCGGGTTGTGCCGCGTGTTGTTTGCTCACAGCTCGTGGAGCGAAACGTCGGACATCGTGCCGAGCAATGCGCGGCACGACCTGAAAAAACAACTGGAGGGCGACATTATGTCCGATATTTATAAGACTGCCCAATTACTGTATGGTCCGTGATCTTTGCGTGTTTTTTCCTTATATAAAAAAAAAACTCGCTACATTCAAAGTATATAAATGAAGGAATATAAAACTAATGTTAATATTTTTGTCAGTTTAAAACTGTAAGTAAATTGGCGAGTTTTTTTTGTTGCTATAATGTTATGTTCACGAATAACAATGAAGTGGCGGCTCAGGGAAAGAAGGTATCTGAGAGAAGTCCACCAAGGAGATGGAGTGACAGAATCAGCATGTGTTCACGTGTGAGGTGGATTAATACATTGCAGCATCCTGAGAGATAGCAATGGCTTGGGCCAGGCCTTCATCCAGCAGTGAATTGACCAAGGCTGCAGATGATGTTCAATAATGTTCAGTTTTTTTAATATGCACTCCTCATGTTAGGAGTGTAACAGTCCATCGAATCAAAGATTGATATAAAAATAAACTCAACTATGGCTTATCATGTGGAAATGTATAGCAGCTAAATACTCTAAAAATGCACGTGACAGGCATCAGGGTCGAGATCGAACCCACGACCTCCTGTATAGTTGGCAAGGTAGTACAAATCTTGGGATGCGCGTATCAGATTTCTTTCTTGATTCCTACATGTTATATGTAATAGGATTACATTGTCCCTAAAGCCACAAGAGGCGCTACTTATTGTTACAAAAAAGTATTTGAATCGAAAATCGATCCTTTGAATCATGATTACATTGAATCGTGCACAGGACATTGTTACCCGTCTCGTTCAAATCACTAGAGTGCCTTGAATTGTCAGATTTCTCCAAAGCGTCTCAGTGTTTCATAACACTGCATGAGAACACACATTAATTCTGATTGAGAAGAGGTTTTCCCCTTTTTTTCTGGCAACAAAACAAGTATTAAGATGTTTAAACACCAAACTGAAACCTTTTACAAGGAATCATGTCTGCATTAACCACAATACTTGTGGTTAGAGTGCAAAAAAACCCTGATAATATATGCATTGTCTTTGAAACTGATTGATCCACACCAGAGACAGCTTTCTTTTGAGTCTAGTCTCAAAACTGTTAGACCAGAGGACGCCAAAGGCGTACAGCACAAAGGCAATGCACTATCAGAGTAATGAGAGCTCGGGGTGAGCAGCTACATCATGGGACCTCCTTTGGCAGTACCAAAATATGAGAATAGGTTTTCCCCTTTTTTCTGGCAACAAACATGTGTTAAGATGTTAAAACATCAAACTGAAACCTTTTACAAGGAATCATGTCTGCATTAACCACAATACTTGTGGTTAGAGTGCAAAAAACCTGATAATATATGCATTGTCTTTGAAACTGATTGGTCCACACCAGAGACAGCTTTCTTTTGAGTCTAGTCTCAAAACTGTTAGACCAGAGGACGCCAAAAGGCGTACAGCACAAAGGCAATGCACTATCAGAGTAATGAGAGCTCGGGGTGAGCAGCTACATCATGAGACCTCCTTTGGCAGTACCAAAATATGAGAATAGGTTTTCCCCTTTTTTCTGGCAACAAACATGTGTTAAGATGTTAAAACATCAAACTGAAACCTTTTACAAGGAATCATGTCTGCATTAACCACAATGCTTGTGGTCAGAATGCAAACAAAAAACATACACTGATAATATAAGCATTGTCTTTTAAACTGATTGGTCCACACCAGAGACAGCTTTCTTTTGAGCCTCGTCTCAAAACGCCTGTTTGTTGCTAGAAAAAAGGGGAAAACCTATTCTCATATTTTGGTACTGGCAAAGGAGGTCACATGATATAGTTTTGATTGCTCACTTCATCTGGTTTTCAGGAGGGCCACTATCTGAGACATTAGTCTACGGGGTGTGACGAAGGGTGTGACACATGCTTATTTTGGTTTATGTGTATACATGGTGGCGGTTTAAAAAAATATCTCATTAATTAGTTCGGTAATGATGCAAGAATGTACATTCTCGTTGGAAGAGAAAATTAGCATCACGTTGTTTTTTACATCACGAGATATTCTGGAGATTGAAGGTTTTAAAATATGCAAGCCAAGTGATTTCGATTTAAAGCTTTCGTGACTGCAGGGATTCATATTCTTGGTTCTTTCGGTAAAGTCACGTAGAAGGAAAATAATAAAATAATATTTTTATAATAAAAAATATTATTATTTCCCTTCTACGTGACTTTACCGAAAGAACCAAGACTATGAAGCCAAGTCATGTTCAGTATTTGGTAATATCTCAAACATATCCGAAATGAGATTACCTCTTTGGTTAAAATAACATTTCATAAAAACACGGGCAGGTTGCATATTTTTACAAAGTTGTGTGTTAACCTTTACTAACATTTCAGCACCATATTGTTTATGTATTTAAATCTAATGTACTATGTGGGGAAATGCTTCCTTCTGTTTCTGATTGTAAATTGAAAGCACACTTTCACCTTTCTAGTTTGTTGTTAACATTTGTGTTACATTTGAGTTAATACCTCACTGGGTTTTTGCCTAGTAGGATGGGGATGGTGTATGTGTTTAAGTGATTTTTTTACCTTTCTTGTACTTTGCACTCCTGTTGTGTGTCTGTGTCGTTTGTTGTTGTAACGCTCTTACCCCGTGCATAGACATGTGAAAAATAGCTTCATAGCTCATCGGATTTCTCCAGCATAAATACACATTGATGCTTCGTTCACACGTTGTGTGTGTTCGCTGTGAATCAAAGTTGTAATTTTGAACCCAGGCGACACCCTTACGAATTCGACCACGTTTCACACCGTCATAACGAGTTGATTTTCCATCTGCCGGTCTAAATACAAGTTTACTACTACAGCTATTAGTAGAACAGTACCTACTGCTGATGTTGCATCGTGGCACTTGCCTGAGCTGTGATCGTGGCTGGGGCCCTTGCGGGAGGTCCCGACCTGCCAGCGGAGGTCGGCGCTGGCGTCATCCTGGAGCCAGCCGCATGTCCCCCTCTGCAGGCCGCGGCCGAAGCGACACCCGAAGCCCTCGACAAAGGCTCCCGAGTGCAGGTCTGACACGGAGGGCGACGAGGCGTGAAACGTCAGCTCGCGGGTCGCTCAATGACACCGAATGATTAAAATAAACACGGCTCCCAAGAGCACGACTCGAAATGTGCCATCAGCAACAAAGAGTTCCCTGAAGGTGCATAATTATGCATTGTATTTGTTTAATGAGCAAACGTCTGCCATGTGTCTCACGTCTGGTGATTTGTGTAAACAAAGTCAAGCCCCAGAAACACACCTTGAAAAGGTTTCACCAACGTTGGTGATTTTAAATCGTTAACTTGTTTGAGTGTGAATAATTGTTGTATGCTTTAAGTATTGAGGACAATCTCTGCGCTACATTGAGGCGATTGATTTGTAAATTTCGATTCATTTTTCATGCTTCGTGTCACGTGATGGGGCCTACCTTTTTATGTTGCAAATTAAATCACAGCGGGGGAACATCAACAAAGAATGTCACCGCTTTTTAATAACATTTCTTAATGAGAGTGTTAGACGAGCGGTGTTTATGTTTGGGAAGGAGCACATGTTGATGCTATCGTCTTGAGTTTCAAGGATGTTTTGTCAGGAGTGATGCAACTTCTCCGTAAGTCAACGACCGTGGCAGCTGCTTTACCAGGAGTATTTGAAGAGTCTTCAGGAAACATTAAATCATCAGGTGTCTGCACATCTATAGAAGGAAAAAAAGGACAACAGACGCATGTTTGCTTAGTAGTTGTCACAAAATAATTACTAATCACAGGTCTTTCATTCAAGGAAGTGGACACGAGATATTTACACAAATCAAAAGTCCTGTATGTCGTCTTCCCCTGTTCAAATGAGCACGGGGAAGTGGCTCATCTCTTTTGGTGACCCTGAGCCTGTGGGACTAATTCCACATTCTTGTGATGGGGGCCTGTTCGTCCAGAGCTGGTGGGCTGGCCAAGATTTGACCCCTGAAACATTCTGATTGCGATGGAACTATAACCACAGTGGCATACGGCTGCAAAAGCTGTACATGTTACAGTTCTTAATCCAGAAAAGCCTCACTGAATCTCGAGATTATTTTCAGAAGGACCCATACTGCGAAGGTTGACCAATTCCTTAAAATGCTTTGCGTATATCTACATATGTATATACGTGGAAACTGGAGTTTGTGCAAACAAGAATATCGCGCATATGAGGGCAAAACACTCAATATCCCCACAGACCAGTTACGTAGTGACTTTGCTGTAATACATTATCTGGACGCCTTAAAGCCCAGCAGGTTTGTAGTGCCACAGCAGATTATGAAATGTCAATGAACCGCCGACCCTGCTGCTAAAGTGATGGTTTGCAGTTGGGCACCACCAGCTCAAATATGCCACGTGCAATATGAGAGCAGTTTCAAATGTGGATTTAACTTGATGTTAAAACACCGATGGCGAGTGAAAACAGAACTAGGTGTCCCTCTAAACACAACGAATTTCACAACATGAGTTTCTGCTGGCTCTTAGTGTTCCTACCCAGTATATAGACTGCATTTCAAAAGTATTAGTGGCCAATCACAGCGAGTCACAGATGTCACATGATACTTTGCGACTTCCTATGATTTGCTAGCAATGCTTTTAAATTGGCATTGGATGAACTTGGCTGGCTGTGTGTAGCACAGTCCAGCAATAGAAGTAAGTAGGGAGAAGGCTTTCGTGTCTGGCGTGGACAACTACTGTTTTCACTTGGCAGAGCACGGTGAATTCTTATTCCAGCCATAAACAACTCAGAAAATAAATCAACAAATGTACCAAGATGAACATAACCTCGTCAAAATCAACAGTGGCTTATCCTTCGGAAAGACTTATCCCTGACGTGAACGTTAAATTTGCCTGACGGACTTAGGATTGCCAATGGAAACAGAGTTGACCCAAAGTCCATATGTGTATGTTTGGTAATTTAACATTGGGGAAAGTTAACATATTAACATTACTGCAAAACATACTGTATAATCATAATTGCGTTCTATTGCGTGTAGTGTACTGTTATTGACTTAAAGCTTTCGTGACTGCAGGAATTCATATTCTTTGGGTCTTTCGGTAAAGTCACGTAGATAGGTTAAAATAAAATAAAAATTTACTACGACGTTTCGATCGCAACACAAGCGGCCGAAATGTCGTTTTTGTTATTTTCTTTGAACCTATCTACGTGACTTTACCGAAAGACCCAACGAATATACACTGGTATTGTTTAATATTTGTATAACTCTCAATTTTAACGGCTTATATAATCAAGGAGTTCCTGGCTATTGCTAACATATGGTTTTTCACTTCACAGGGATATACCAGGCCATTGGTTTGGCAAAAGACATCCTTGATTGCCTAAAATTATGCACATATGTGAAATGGGAATGCTTACACACTGAAACTCTCACAGGATTACTGTGCACAGATGTGTGTGTGTGTGTTTTTCACGGGCAAAAGAGTTTAACTTTTCAAATGTGAAGTCAAAATGTATCACGAGTCTACAACCAGCAGTCTGTAAGGCTGCCTTTCTGCATCCATAATTTAATGCATTGTGGTTGAGGGTTAGGTGAGGCCAAAACTCTGTTCAGGCTAGTAATGGGCATAAGGAAGGAGGCTCAAGGCCATTCTCATTTCCTTGGCTTGTCGTGCTCTATAATTTAGACTCTTTTTTTTATTCCACGTGAGTTAATTTCCCCAATTTAGAGATCAATTACACCCGCACGATGGACAGCATGACACAACGACGTTGGTTTGAAACCTGCACAATCACACGAAAGTTTCACAGCAGAGGACCTAATTGGCCCAGTCAATTTAATCATCATCATCATCATCCTATCCATGTATACGTTTCCAAACCGATTAGTGGTTTGATTAAGACTATTTTATTTTAATAAGCCTCTATATGTACCTTCTGTACCATTACCCAGAGATTTAATACACCAAAGAATTATTTGCACATTTACAAGCAGAAAATACAAGAGGCTTTTCATCAGTGCAACTGGTTATTCATCAGATTGGTTTTACAACTTGGCATACTCTGCAATACAGGACATATATCTCCATCAACATGCATTCAGAACATATGGCATTCCATACCATTGTGTTATTAAATGCGGGAAAAAACAATCGTAAAAACAACCGCATGATAATTTAACGCGTTCTTATATCGTGTAAGGCGATGGCGAAGGTGCTACGTTTCCGTCTGCAGGAGTTTTCACGGTCAGGTCGATGTCGCTGCGCGTAATCCCAGTTGACTCATTTGCGAGCAATTTTTCGAATGTGGAAAATTAGGACCGGCCGCACAATGGCCTGCTCATTTCAGATGACGTGAAGGGGGATCCTTGACGTCCATTGTGAGGGCCAGCACACGGCATTTTACAGGCAATACGCCCGCAGTAATGACCGCGGTGGCTTGCGAAAATCGAATCCTGAACCTCTGCAACAAGGCGGCAAACGCGACATCGCCACGGCACGCCATTGCACCCATAGGAAAAAATAGCACGGCAAGTTTGCAAGGAACTATGTATACATTTGCAGATAAAAATGCATCCGCAAATGTAATACAAACCCACACAAGCAAAACACTAGAGATACAGTGTAGCGAACACTTATACATGTGCGAGCATCCACCCACTCGTAAACTGACCTTGCTCCCTGCTCCCCTCGAGGCCAGAAGAACAGTTTCCATAATGCTCGCAATCTTCCTTTTGAGCCTCGCCATCAGAGTGATTTTTTTCTGGCTCTGTCAAACAAGCAGTGCAAGTTTCTTACACAGTTGTGTAACACGGCGTGAACTAAAGTATAGTTTACACGTTGTGACTGCGCAAATAATCAACATTCTAAACATGTCTTTGCCGGTAAATAATTCAGTGTGCATTTTGTACAGCGGATACAAAAAAAAAACAACTCCAGCTCTCTCCGTGTTGGTTAATGAACCGAGGAACCATGGGGGCTTTTTATGTAAAAGCAGTGTTGTCTGCCTTTGGGCGACTCCATGAACTGTGATAGAATGTTAACCGTTTGTGTTCGGGTTGTCCCTTTTGTGAACGTTTTACAATTTTTACATCTTGTTCCCAATATGTTTATTCCGACCGTGCAATCGGTGTCATGCCATGAGATGAAATAGATCAAAAGGGTCCGCGGAAGGAGATGTCACAGGACTGATGCTGAAATCTCTTTAAAGTGACCTCTAAAGAGGAGGCACAAAGTTTGTGTATAGTATTTTAGGCAATATGGCAGTTACACCGGTGGCTCTTTGGCAACGGATATAACTGCCACACCATACTCGTATGAACAAGGGGACACATGGACTCAACATTTTCACGAGCTTCCCACTCACAATCTTCCCTCGTGAGCTTATTACACGGGAGTTCGTAGAAATGTGATTGTTGGCACAAGCTGGTGTATTCCAATGAAGATGCATAACTCACAGTAAAGTACAGTGACTACGTAAGACCATAGCCAACATGATATTCTTCGAAATGTAGTCATATACCCTAGTGCCAGTGTGCCATCAGCAGGATGATTTATTTTTCCATAGGCAAACTTACAACAAAAAATAGCTGATTTCTTTGGATTAAAAATTACCACTTATTTCCAGAGAATGTGCCTGTTCGCAACCGGAAATGTCTGCGCATGTGAGAATGTCTCCTCTGCAATCATGAATAATACAAAACAGTAAAATACGAGTCATAAACCATTAATGCACGTTTAACATGAACAAAATAAATGTAGTTTATTTTATGAGAGTGAAGTTAAAATGTCTCACATTTTATTTCAAATTATAACGATTATTAAATAAAGTTCAGCATAAGCCAAATAATATGAACACAAATAAAATTCATGACACACAGTTGTTTTCAACGGTATTACTCACCATCAGCAATCTCTGGTGTCTTTCAATAAAGATGGATAAAACAGTGGCTCTGACCCCTAACTATTGTTTAAAGTTTCTCATTTATAATGAATGTGCATAAACCAATACAAATATACTGCAGCGAGATCAAACACTACTCTTGCAGGGGAATTAGACCTCACCTAACTAAAAGTGAAAGGTAAGCATAGTGCCAGGTGGTTTTTCACATTTAAATTTGATTCATCAAATTACTGGTGACTTAAGCCTATTTGGGGGATTTAAATGACACTTCTGCTGACAGCAGTGGGTGACCTTCACGAGAATGAAACCACATCTGGACCTTGTCATTACCATCAAGTTTGCATGGTTTCACTGTCATGGTCCAGGTTGTAAATGCCATCGTCTTGTTAAGTATAGAAGTCTGATTGTTTCTACATATACGGGGTGGGAAGAAAAAAGAAACCTGAAAGGAAAATATGACGCCACTGTCTCTAAAGCCCTATATTGATTATTCATGAATTCCGGCACTTAAAACTCGATGCCACATTTTCTAATGATGTTCTCAATCCTCACCTGCTCTGTGTCAATTCAACGAAGCCAAAATCAGATACAATAATAAAAGAGCGTGTTATGCCAAATGTGTTGCCAAGTTTATGTGTATGCCTCCCTTGCTCGTTGCATTCGTGAGTCATGGCACATTTCAGGAGTTTGGCTAAGAAGGTTGTTCACAACCCATCATAATACTCCCCTTTGCTACCAGTGCCTCAACAATAGATGTTTTGTGCGAGTGCTGTGATGGGTTTTTTTTCCAGCATAGTGTACTTGGAGCAATGTGTTAGCCGCCATTATAGCTTTTTTTAATGGAACCCCTTTTTGCGTTAGAAATACTGTACAACAGTATTTAGATTATTTTGCTACAATAAATGTCCACGTGATATGCCACTTTGTTGAGCTATCATTTGTGGCCGATTCTGAAAAATCAGTTAATAGCTCATTGGGCTTTACCTGGTAAGATAAAACAAATTTTAGTTGTATTTGTATATATTTTAAGTGACGTGTTTACCTTTACAATACTTTGCACTCCTATCGTGTTTTTCTATTGTTTGTTGTTGTAACGTTCTGACCTGCCCCTACCAGACATTTGTGAAAAAGAACTTCATAGCTTGTCGGATTCCCCCAGGATCAATAAATATTCTGATTCTGAACAGTACCTACACCTTAGGTAGGAACAGTTATGGAGCTAAACAGAGCACATTTGCCAGTGTGCTTAAATCTCACCTTGTTAGGTATCAATCTGCAACACTAACTTGTTTAAACAGCTGATCGTATTATGCTTGTTATACCCAGGAAGGCCTCACCGAGTCTCGAGACTTTTTGCAGGAGGGTCCTGCCAAGTTTCTACAATAGTCGGTGATGTTTCCTCGTGTATTCCCAATAGAGAAACTTTTTTTTTCCAGTTCTGGGATGTTTGGAAGATACCAGTTACATTTTTTTATTTTATTTAGCTGAGGGATGAAACCAGAGAACCCCCGTGTAGAAAATGGTGAGAACATACACACGCCACGCAGAAAAGTTTCCAGGACAGGAATCTAACCAGGGGGCTTCTTGCTGTGTGGCACTGCACCACTCTGCCACCCATACAGTGGCAGTAGTGGTTGGTGAACACTCAGTTGCACCAAACCAAGCATATTAACCAATTGGGTTGATGTTTGATGTGCAGCCATCAATAATGATGATGAGACCCCTCGAACCCACCGCATACAAGGAACTCCTTTCAACCTTTACCATGTTTGCACTTATCTAACATGGGGATCAATAACCCAGAGAGATACGAGATGAAGAGCTTAGATTAAAGGGCTCGGCAGAGTGTGATGCATTGCACCCACTTCTCAATGAAACAATTTAAGCTCGGGCAGTTCATGTCGTGAACACAGATGGACAAGTCTATTGATGGAACGGGCACCCATGAGAGGAAATGTGAACGATGTGTGACAGCCGGCAGGGGAGGGCGAGTGATGAAATCAGGGCACACGTGGAAAGGAGATGGATTGCAGGTGCACAGGACCACACATAACGGGGTTGGTGTGGAGAAGCTTTTTTTGCTGACGAGGACAACGGGAACTGCAATGACACTGGATGGAGTTTGTTTGCTAATGTCAGCACAGCATTCTGAGTACTTGCAATCCTATAATATTGTCCTTGACATCGCCGTCCTCATTACTTGACACAGCCGTACGCTTCAAATACAAGGTGGAGGCTCTGGTGGTGGTTATTATATTCTGCCAACAAAGTCAAGGTGTCTCTGCTCAAACGAGTATGGTTGCATTGCATGTGTTTATTGACAGCGCCGAGGTTGTCTTGGAAATTGCACACTCCTAAGGCAGGTGCGCAGTGTGGCTCCATAAAGTGGGAACTTATTTTTTGTTCATCAACTCCGGAGATTGCAACCCGCTCTAATCGCAACCGTCTCGATGGAAACAAGAATAAATCTAGAACTCGACAAACAACACAAAAGGAAACGTTCCGCAGATGTGAAAACACAAAATACCAGATGGCGAAGGCATCCTTCTGGAGCAAAATGTCATCCATTATTATGGTTTTGAACATCAATTGCACCAGGGGGGTGATCAGAAAACACACAGCATTGGGGGGACCGGGGTGAGGCCGCGGTGGGTGCGATAGGGGGGATGGGAGCCGTTGAAATTGTCCGTGGAAGTTATTTACTCGTGATGCAGCAGCTCCCAGCTGGGGAAATCGCTCCCTTCACCTTCCTAAACACTGGTATATTCTCACGCATTTCACACGCCTGACAGTTCCGCCGGGACCCGTGCAGCTCCCCGCATCATGTTCGCTGCGTGTTACTGCAGAGCTTTGGAGCTGTTGAGAAGTTGCAAGGGGCAATAACTGAGTATACCCCTTCCACAGTGGCGAGATGTTTACTACCTTGCCTGGTGTACAGGAGGTCATAGATTTGATCCCGACCCTGACACCTGCTGTATATTTGGAGTTTGCATATTCTTCCTGTGGTCGTGTGGATTTTTTCTCCGGGTCCTCCGGGTTTTCCCTCCATATTTCGAAACATCCAATTAGAATTTTGCTGTAATAAATTTCCACGTGATAAGCCACTTCGTTGAGCTGTCGTTCGCAGCCAGAGTTGTATGTAGCTCAGTGGGTCTTACCTGTTAAAATAAAACATAGTTTCATAATGGTTTAGTTGTTTCGTGCGTGCGCGCACACATTGTAGATTGCAGCTGCCCTCATCGCTGGGGAGCTTTTAAATCTTTGTCATGTCTGGGAATAATATTTTTTTTCGTGACAATTTGTTGGACATTGTGAATGCACGTCGGGGCAGATCAAAGACAAAGATCACCCCTATAGCCTTCACAGACTGTTGGGGCAAGTGCTGTTAGCAAGCACCAATGAAGGCCAGCAAGACACACGAGGGGGTGGGTGGCCAACACCACGCCCGGCCGCCTTTGTCTCCCTAGTGGCGATGTCTACACATCGTACCAGGTACTCATTTAAGACTGAGTCGACCTAGGGGGGGGTGCTCAGGACCGGTTGAAGTAATCGTCGCTGGTGTTGGCTGTGAGCGGGAATTGAACCCGGGTCGCCAGGTTTATAGCGCAGTGCGCTAACCGCTACACTACCCCTCCCCACAATCTCACCCACGCACAGTGGAGCTCAATCTATTGCTTATGTGGTAGGGGCTCCACAAAGTTTAAACTTGGTTGTGGTTTTGACCAAGAAACAAATATAGCCTGTCTCACCAGATTCGATTCTCGTTTAAGATTGTTGCATGTAAACGTGAATATATATAGAGGCGGGTTACTGTCCTCAAACACGTTCTATGACATGAATGTCGTTTGTAAATAAACGTTTATTTT